CAGAATTGGAAACCCCACACCTTTAAATAGGTGTTTGACACATCTGTGTCCGAGAGGAAAAGCAGCTTTAGCATCCTCAGCCCAACTGCTCTCATTTCATAAAGGGGGAAACTGAGGCTCTAAGATATTAATGTGCCAAACTCCCAGGCCTCCAAGTCTAAAAGAGGACCTTCACCCAGCTCTCCTGAAGGACACAGGATGGGAGAGGAGGGTCCCCCACCGGCACAGCTCCCCCCATTGACTAAATGTCGTCGCAGAAGGCAGCTCATTTCCGGCAATAGCCTGAGATACATTACTAAGTGTAACCCCTTTGTTACTTCAGTGCTTCTCATTTTGTCCCACTAATTTGACTGCTGTCTTCCCTCCTCCAGCTGCTATCAGCAGCCTGTCTGTATATCATGACTCAGTGCTTAGAGACAGAATCTCCACAGCTGCTGAACAATACCTCTAGCCAGTGCCTGCTGGGTGGGGGGTGTTATCATTTTACTGATACCACATTTTTAAACTGACATCTCAGGCCTGGTGTATGTTCTATTTTAAAGGGGAGGGGGGACAGACAAGATAATTTCCACATTACCAGGATATAGCATGCATTGCCCAAGAGGTCTTGTGGGTGGTATTCCTTTTAACAAGCAAATTACCATGTTGCAAGGGGGGTGAGGGACCTGGGGGTGGGAAAGTGGGTCAGGGTCACCCCAGGCTGTTGCATAATAACACATTGGCACCCTGGGAATACTCCTGGATGTATGGGCTTCTGAAAAGTGAATGGAAATGCCACCATAAATCTGCCACCCCCTCACATGGGTGGGGATGGTACCAAACCCAGGGAAAACATTAGCCCTATTAAAAGGTTAGTGCCAAAAAATAAAAAAAAACGGAAAAGGAAGGAAGTCCCTCAGATGGAGAGGCAGAGTGTAGAATACAAAAAGCAAGGGCTCTCCACTTGGTCTGGAGTTAAGATCACCCTCTCTATGAGCTGTGTGATCTTGGGCAAGTTAAGACATTACCGACTGGATACCAGAGACCTCACATCAGTTCACATTATACAAAGGTGCATAGCCCCTCATGGATATCAATTAATAGTGGTTATTGCTGATACACACACACATACTCCCCAGCTCGCACTCCCCTCCCCCAACACACATACTGAGAAAAGTAATAGTTAATGTGCATCAAGCAGGTCCAACTTGCTAACAATAGGGCTAAACCTCATAGTATCTTATGACAACAATTTTTGGTCAGGATTCTAAGTGACAATCAACAGAAACCAACTTGGCTAACTTAAGCAAAACAAGCAAACAAACTCTATTCAGAGAACACTGGATACTTCTGGAAGACTCTCTGAGAGGGCTGGAGAGCTAGCCATGCAGGCTCTGAAGCCAATTCCAAGCTCAAGATTAGGTCTGGTGACTGGTCTTGCGAAGACAGAGCTGCTGTTACACACAGAACCTCCAGCCCTAATGCTGGATGCTGTGATTGGTACTGTGGAAATGCAGGGGTTGTGGCCATTGCCACCATCTTTTATCAGAATAGTTTCTGTAGGGTCACTCTGTCTTCTGATTCAAAGTCTTGGGGTTGGTGTCTGATTGGTGGGTCAGGAGGAGAGTACAAGTCTTGTGCCCACATTCAGCTATAGGGGCTGGAATATGCTTGTGTTTCCAACTTTGTTTGTGATGGTTGGACTCTGCCTCATTGTTATTACAACAAAGAGAACTCTTTTCTAAATCTAGGGAAGGGAATCAGATAATAACTATTTACAAATTGGTAAATAACTACCACAATTGAGTCCCAGGATTTTTACCATTTTATGGATGAGAACATTGAAGCTTAGCCAAGGCCCCATGTCTAAACTATGGTATGAACCAAGCTAGTCTCACTCAAGCCTGTTCTGTTGGCCACTATCTTGACCATTGTCATGACAAATGTAATGATGTGAACAATGTCCACCTTGGCAAAGCCTCCCATGCTCCAGCCCCCTTTCCCTGACTCATTAGAACTGGATCTCCGGAAAGCCAAAGATGCATGTTGATTCCTGTGCTGTTTTTCTTAGAGGAAGATGCTTTTCTAGACTAAAGCTGTGGAGTTTGTCCTTGGAATATAGTTCCTGGGAGCTGGGATCTCTGAAGAGATAGATGCCCTGTGTCTCTGTGAGTTTCTATAATGGAATAGTAAATGGTGAGGGCAGGAGGCATATTGGAGATCTTTTCTCTAGCACAAGCCATACCCAACATACAGGGGCAACAGGGAACCTTCCCTGGACACCACCCACACCCAAGAGTTTTGTATGCCATTCCATTACGTACCCCATGAGTTGTCCTGCAGCAATATATTTCCCACTCAACCCGGAAGCCCCACAAGGCCAAGAGCTACTATTTTGCAAGTAGTTTACCATGGTGAGCTCAGGAGTCAGGCTCTCTGGGTTTGAATCCCCAGTTTTACCATTTAATTGCCTCTCTTCAATTCACTTCCCCATGCCTCAACTTCCTCTTTTGTAGAAAAAGGACACTAATGGAATTATTATGAGAGTCAATTTATAAATATGCTTGATATATAATAGTTGTTCAATAAATATATATCATCAGCAGAATAGGCAGAATCTAGTAGAAAATGTTAGTATGTAAAAATGGATCTATTAGGGTCCAAGTCTCATTCTCTTACAAACTTTCTCCATCATCATGCCTTTCCTCTGAAGTATATCCATTAACACCATGTGCAAGTCATTGATCTAGTCCACACCAGCTATTTTGTCCAGAGTATAGGCAGGGAAGTGAGGCCCAAGGAGGTATGGCCAGCTGGGGCTAGACTCGCTGTCTAGTGCTATTTCTAACAGAGGTTCCCAGTCCCCGCCACTCTACGCTTACAATTCAGTTTTTTTTCTGAGAAACGATGAAGCATGTCCTAATTTTCAGTTCCTCTCTGCAACAGACTCCAAGCACCAAGAGCATCAAAGATTCTAAATCCACAGACCAGGGGTCAGCAAATGCGATTTGTAAAGGGCCGGATAGTAAATATTGTAGGCCTTTTGGCCCATAGGTCTCTGCTGCAACCATCCAACTCTGCTGCTATAGCAGGAAAACACAGCAGACCATATCTAAAAGAAGGGTGTATTGTGATCCAGTAAGGCTTTATTTGCACATGTAAGCTGTAGGCCGAGTTTGATCCATGGAAGGTATTGTGCAGACCCTTTCCATGGACAAGAAGCTTCTGCCTGGAAGGGCTACTTACTTTTGTTTATGGCTGCATAGTGCTCAAGCAACATATAATGTGGATGTCAGAACCCAAGCATCCCTTTAGGATACTATATCTTACCTTCTCACATCCTACCTTTTCCCCAGAAGCACTTGAGTCACATGTCACCTTAGTGCAAGTAAAACAGGTAGCTATTTCCCAGCATGATCTGAGAGTAAAGTGGGTGTCATGAGGATGACAGCAAAGGTGAGGGTTTGATTAGGGTAGAGCTTGTGACTATGAGAAGTAATAATCACATACCTTGAAAATCACACAACAGAAGTGCAGGCAAGGCTCTTAAAAACCACCTCACTCAATCCTTTAAGTTACAGAAAGTAAACTGAGGCCCAGGCTAAGGAAGCGATTTGGTCAGCATTATCCAGCAAGTTCTCACCACAGCTAGGACCAGAGCCTGGTTTTCTTCATTTTAGTCCAAGGCTCTTTCCACCCCACACTTTGCTAATATCAGGCTTTTATATAGACCGACAAACTGAAATCAATGGAGGAGAAGGAAAAAACAAACCAATCACCTTCTGCCATTTAAAAGCCTAAGGTCTTGCCTAGAAACTCTCCTGTCCTCCCTCCCTCCATATCTTTCCTTCCTTTTATCCACCAGCATGAGTGGGATGTCTCTATGGTGCTGCTGGACCCCTACTTGGTGCCAAGGAGATAGTAGGCGCTCAATAAATGTGTGCTGCAACTGGAATAAAAGGTAACTAATATGTGGCAAAGACCTCAGGGAGCTCACAATTTACCAGGAGCTGGTCTAAACGCACCCGAATGCACTCCAACTGTGAGGACCCCATGACAGTTCCTCCCCTTTAGTCCTAGAAAATTGCCTTTCAGTGAGAAATCTTCCCAGCAGTTTCCATCCCCCCCACAGCTGCCCCTACCCTCCTCAGATAGAGCACCTCTGTCTTTTGTACTTGCAAATGATTTGTGATTAGTTTTCACCTCCAGCCCAGGGGATTAGCCTGGGGACCTTTGATCTTCAGGTATCGATTTGCATCTTAAAGGAAGTATGATCTCATCTGGGCCAGCTCAAAATTCCATCCCTGCCCCCCAGCCCCCCTTCTGTTTACCAGCCCTGGGCTGGCCAGGGCCTCCCAAGTGGGACTGAAACAACAAGATCAGCCAGACTCAGAGAGGAGGCCAAGGGAAGGTGGGAAAAGGACATTTGCTTTCTAAACATAGGCTGGTCTGCTGTTCCCTCTTCCTCCAGTCAGAAAATGCCCAAGACTGGGAATGTGTGGTGGGGGTAGAGAGTGGGGAGGGTCACTGGATCCTGGAGGGAGGTTGTGTAGCCAAATGGACTGAGCACATGCCTAAGAATCAGACAAAATGAGGTCCAAGTCCTGGTTTTGTCTCAAATCACTTCTGACCTGTACGATTCTGAGCAAGTTTTACAATCTCTCCGTTTTTTGATGTTTCCCATCTCTCGAGCAGGAATAAAAACCTTAAAAATCTATACTACTAACCATCCTGGACAGCTGGCATGAAGAAGAGCAATGCTGTGTGTAAGGTGAAGTTAGATCAACAGTTCCCAGTCATGCCTGTCCTCTAGGAGAACATAAGCTACCCAGGGCAGGGATGCACTTGCCCTTTGCTTCCATTGCTGTATTCCCTTGTGCCTAAAATATTGCCTGTTCCGTAGGAGGCACTCAGTACATATTTGCAATATAAAGGAGTGAAACATCATTCAGTAGCAACTATTGCTGTTATTGTAATATTATTCCTCCCTAGCCAGGCCCAGGGAAATGACAAAGACTTACCAATGCAATTGAAGGAAACTTCCTGTTGGCAGAACAGGGAGCAGCCATCACCATTGATCTTGTTCATGTCATCACATTCTTCACCTTGGCCTCTGCGGAACAGATGGGAGAGAAAGGTATCTCATTAGCTTCAAAACTACAGCCTGATGTGGCCCAGTTCCCTGCAGCCCAGACCTCAGGCAAGCCCCTTTCCCTGTGTAAGTCTCTGTTTCTTCATCATTAAGATGAGATGCTTAAAAGGTGTACATCTGTAGGATCCCATGACATTTGCCTTATTTTTTTGTTTCTGATGACAATAGAATTTCTGTTTCAAACACATTCTCTGAGATCTCAATCAGTTAAGTCAGCAATTTAGATGGGAGTAAGATATGGATGAATGAATGAACAAATGATGAACAGACCTTGCTGTACTGTGTCCGGAAAATGTCACTGCCACTTTAAAATGATGGATTTAAAGAACATTTTGGCATTTCTAAAATACAAATGCTATCTTCACTGTGCCCTGTGTCCACCCTCTCCCCACTTTCCCAATGCTCTTAAAGGTCACGATATCCCCTCCCCCCTTCATATGCTCAGGATGGGTTTTCCTTTTATCAGAAAATTTTGCCTCCTCCATGGGTGTGCAGTTTGCTGGCATCAAAAATGCCTAGGCCTGTGGAATTAACTATGCTTCTAGGAAATAAAAATGCCTCCTCTTGTTTATTTTAGGAATTGTTTTCATCACCTAAGGATGGTTCTGCAGAGGTTAGGATGGAAAGAAAATGAGCAATGCTCTTGGAATTGGACCTAGGAGAAAAGAGAGAGGAATAATAACGGAGAGATTCAACGAACTGGAAGAATAATAACGGAAAGATTCAATGAACTGTTACTTTAAAAAAAAAAATTCCCATCCACTGAGAAACAGAAAACTTGGGTTTTGATCCCCATGGTCCAAACTGGCTGTGTGATCTCCAATAAGTCACTGGATCTCTCTGTCTGATCTTTCAGTGTTGCACAGTGTAAACCAATGAACATGCAAAATAAATGAAAATGCTCTGGCTCAGTCACAGTCACCACATTTCAAGTCCTCAGTAGCTGGATGTAGCTAGTGGCTCCTGTGTTGGACAGCACAGAAAAATCTGTGCTATTCTAGATGCCAATGCTCCATTATCTCACTGGTTAAAATGGAGGTAATTTTATACCTACTCCGTAGAGTGCGTGTAAGAATGAAATGTAACATCAAGTGACTGGCACGGTGTGTGACACACAGTAGATGCTCAGGGGATCACAGCCCCGTTCCCACTCTGTCCTGGGAAGTCTCTGCAAAGTGTGCGGCAGCTGTCCCTTCCTCCCTCCCTCCCTGGAGACCAGCTGGGCCCTGTCACAGCATGAAGGAGTCCTCAGACTTCTGCCTTCACCAGGGTAATTAATACTGGGAAATGTTTGTTGCTTTTAAAAGGTGTCAGTGTAGCAGGATGGTGCCTTGCAATCAATCCTGAAGATGACCAGGGTACCGCACTGATCTCCAAAGAGCCACCCAGGCTGTCTCCTGTCTGAAGCAAAGAAGAAGCCTAAATCCCCAGGCTGGACCCCTGTTCCAATCTCTGCCACGGACTCTCCATTGGAAATGGTGATGGCATTGTACTTCTTAGCTATTTCATGGGTTATCTGGGGAGAGATTTTTTTTTTTTTTTTTTTAAACCTGGGCTGGGTTCCCTAAGCCACAAAGAATACTTCTCAACCGCCTTCCCTCACCACCCAAACAGTGTGTTCTATTGGTTTAAGCATAAAATTAGGGTCACCACAAATATCTTCTAGGCATGAAAGATCTATCATTAGATAGAGAAGTTCTGAAAAACCTTCCCTGACCTCACAGGCGGGAGTGGGAGGCTGTCTTCTCTGTGACCAAGGACACCAGGCTCAATCTATCACAGCGCTTGTCACACTGTCAGCCTTGTCCTGTCACTTGAGAGCCCCCTATCCTCAGCTTTAAGATGCCAAAGGAAGTGCAGACTTTGTCATCCTAGCAGAAAGCATGTAGCTACTCCTTGGACATAGCATAAAGCATGTAGCTACTCCTTCACTTGTTAGTTTTGCACAACTGTTGGTCACACAACAAGGCAATGGTGAATCCACATGAAAACCTGGGCCCTGGGTTCACGTCTTGGTTTTCTGCTCCTTACTGGGCTGAAAAAAACCCTCTAATCTTTGTGTGTTAGTTGTCTCTTGTAAAGTATAGTAAAAGGATCTATGCAATATAGTTGTTGGAAGAACCCAAGGAGATGGCTATGTAGCACAATGCCTCCTGTATAGTTAAGGCTCAGCTAATATTTATGAATATTATTATCATTGTCGTAATATTCATCCAGTGTTTTCAACCATTTTCTTACACACACACACACACACAGCAAATAACATGTATCATACTCTAAAAATCGAATTAGTTCAGATGCCATCCCTCCTTTACTTCAAAGTTGTGGTTTTTGGTATTTGTTGGTTTTGCTTAGGAAACTGTTCATGTTCACTAGCTTTGTTCAGTTTCTACAAAACCTGTCAACAATTATTAGGTAACTGCAGATAACTCAATATGTACTTGATGTCTATGCAGGATAACAATTCTAGGTAAAACCACTAAAAAACACTGTTGTTAAGAATAGTCTTTAAATGAATACTAACAACAACCCATTTCTAGAGCAGCTAGAAAAATGCCATTGTTTGCAGTGTTTTACCAATGTGTCTATAACGGGCTCTGAAATGGAGAGACTGAGCTGGATCAGGTTCTACATCAAGTGAGTTTCCTTTTTTATTCTTTGTGCTAAATTAGAAAATCCCAAATCACAATTATGGGTTTTCAGCAATGACCACAAGTGTTTGCTGGAGATACTGGATCTGCTGCTCTATCCTGGGCCCATAAATGATGGGGCACTTTCCCCGGGGACCGCCTTATGCAGCTGCTCAATATTCCACCGAACAGCATGTGCACCAGAGCTGGAGACTGATGTCTTAATGGGGGAGAGAACAGCAATAGCTCTCCTGCCTCTGATTTTAGTGCATCGAGCACTGGAAATCATATCTTCATGCCTGGTGGTTGGATCTGGGTCTAGACCTTAAATACATCCTCTAACACATGTGGAACTTTATCTTCTATGCTTAAAGAGTCCAATTCTTGGCAATCAGGTGATGTGCACCACAATTCAATGCTAAAGACCTCTTACATCCATAGATATCCCTGAGACATAGCACTCAGCAAACCACTGGAAATCATGTAAAGAATCACTACTGACCTTATCAGTGTCAACATTTGTTTGAAAATGTCATTTCTTTGAAAAACTTGAAATAGCACCTTCCTTGTGACAGCCCATGAGCTTTAGTGTATGAGCTGTGTGGGGCAGAAAATCTTGCTTGCATGAGCATCTTTTTGCACATTAAGATGAAAGAGTGTACCTCACTGGCCCGCCTCTGATCTTATTCACAGCATTCACTATTCCCTTCAATACTGCCATAGGCCCTTGCTGGCCAATAACTGAGGTCTGCGTGGAGGGCTATTCATGTGCAAACTCTTTACTTGCATGACTGTGTCAATCTTGCTGTGCTCCAAGCTGGTCCTTTCATCCCGCTGCAGGTTTCCAGTTCACATTACTTACTATGAAATCCTCAGTGCCATATTCAATTGCTCTGCCCCTCCAGCACTGGTGTCAATGATGAACTAAAGGAAATAGCCATCCAGCACTTCTCTTTCGTATGTATGCTACGCTTATGAGCGGATGCACGTTCTGCACATCAGTGGCTTCATTCAACTGTGAAATAAATTCTTTACAGCCCCTCCCACTGCAGAAACAGTCATTGCAGTTCCATGTCGCACAGATATTATGGGACACCCAGCAGAGCCATTTAATGAAGGAATTTTGCCTATAGCTTGTTTTGCCATCTCCACATATAATGTGTATAATTAAATCTGCCAACAGTTTTAAAAAATATACTTTTATTGATTTGAGAGATGAAAAGAGAGAGAAAGAGAGAAACATCAATGATGAGAATCATTGATGGGCTCCCTCCTGCACACCCCACACTGGGGTTCAAGCCTACAACCCAGGCAGGTGCCCTGTCTAGGAATTGAACCACAACCTTCTGGTTCCTAGGTCAATGCTCGACCACTGAGCTATGCTGGCCGGGCATATTTGCCAATACTTTTAAGAGTACCAGCAAGAGTGTGACGTGCAACTAAGTTAGCAATAGAAAATACAATTTTAGCAGTAAGGAAGTTAATTGTCAATGCTTTTTGGTCTCTTCTCCACTCCTAGAGACAAACCTATTTGATTTTGTGCCAGGAAAACATTTTTTTGATACTTTTTCTGAAGGAAAATCTCAAAGGTTTACTTTTTCAAAAACAATGCAAAAGTCTTGTTAGCTTCCTGCCCCTATTTTGTGGTTGCATAACATCTTGCCCCATGGTCAAGGGCAGGGATAGACTGATATCCAATTAAATATATGGTTTAGACATCCAGCTTTGTATTTTCTGATCACACTTTCCCTTTTTGGCTGCTGGTGGGGAATCTTTACACTTACTAATTTGCTCCATATACTTAGTACATATGCTCACATTCAATATTCACTCTGGAGTACTGTTCCAGATTTATGGTTTCAACATTACAATGGGTTGGAATATTTTGGTATTTTTGGGGCCTTCGACTCTTTTTGTAAAGTGTTGATATAATACGATGCAACAGAATAACAAATAAATATGCAATTTTAACAGATGTAATTGGTAACCAGCAAAGAATGTCAAAGTGCTTTGACCCAGATGTACTGTGATCTGCTAGCTCAACGTGGGCTGGGACTGGCGAGAGTAATAGAATCCATGTGGCATGTATCCATCCACTAAGGACAGGGGCATACTGGTAGTCAGTGCTTGATGATCGCTCTGTCAAAATCACAGATCAATTGCATACTTGAGAAATGTATGTGCTCCAAAACGTATCACTTTCTCCTGAGAGTAGCACTCTGCTGCAGACAAATGGATAGGCTGCTGGGGATTGAAGCTAACTTGCAGCTCACACATAGAAGAGCATCCCGTAAGTTCTTCTGTTCAGCACCCTGAGCATCTCTGGGCCAAATGAGCACCACCCTCCCCTTTCTTTAGTGAGATCTACTTACTTCTGGATGATGCCGTCGCCACAGTACCCACTTCCATGGGTGTATACAGCAGCAGGTGATGGCTCGCCTTCCTCACTTCCGGAAATGGTGATGACCCGGTACTGGTACACACTGCCAAGACTGAGGTCCCTGGAAAATGCACAGACAATGATGAGCTATATAGACACATTGCGGGGAGAGGAGGCAAACAACACTGATTCCCTTGCGTACATTCTAATTCTAGTTTATTTTTGAAATCTTTGCACAATCTGTTATCCAGTAATTTTTATTGTCTGCTGTGGTGAAGGCATTCTTCCATTCATCTTAGGTTATACCAAAATGCACAGCAACAATAAGGAGCATCAGTGGACAGTTGACCATGAATGTTACTAAATATTTTTTGTTGTTGAGCTAAACTTTACAATAACCCTAGTGGGTAAGAATCAGAGGGTGTGTGTCCTATAATGAAGATATGGGAAACCGCCATCCAGGAAAAGTCAATGGATAAGCAAAGGCCTACAAGAGACAGGAAACGACCATGCCAGATTCTGTGGGCATTGTCTGATCCTCTGTGCTATTCTGAGATCTGAGCAGAAATCCGTTACAGGCACATAGGCCCTTTCCTTACAATGCACACTCAGTGATTCTCTCCCTCCCGGCTCCCTATGTTGTTCACTCCTGACCAAAATAAGAATGATAATCACGGCATCCATTAATGGAATTTCAGGCCTAGGGGTAAGCGCTTTCCACGTATTCTCTCATTTGAGAATCAAAACCACCTTATATGTGCTGGTGTATTTTCATCTTCATTTTAACATATAAATGGTGAATCTGAGGCATAGAGAGGTTAGGCATCCCCCTTACAAATACATGCCATTGCTTGTGATATCCATGTTCTGCTTCTGTAATCCCTAGCTTAGGCCTGTTTGAATAATCTCATCTCTTGCAAGGAAGGATCCCAACTAGGCACTGGCATTCCAAGCACTGGTTCCTGCCAGATTTCCAACTGCCCTCCATTGCATCTCTCCTCTGTTCTCAACGCCTCCTAGTTTAAGGCCTATTTTGATGTCCTCACACTCACCCTCACACCAGATCACCTCCCTCCCTTAGTTAGCCCTTGCGACCTTCCTCCCCCCCCCCCCCGCCCCCACTTGAATTCATCCTGCCATCAAAAGATCCTGGCTACTGTCAGTTATCCTCCGAGGCACAGTCATATTGACATCAATTCCACATGAACAAATCCCCATCCCCATCTCCTCCTCCGCTACTGTCAAAGGAAGATGCTATTCCTTTCTTTCATTTCCCTCAGCATCAATTATTTACTTATTAATAATAACAATGTGCCATGGGGGGAAACACACACACAAAATGATAATGAAGAGAATTCCTATCAGATTCCAGAGTTAGGGGGGATTTCATAAACAAGAAGGTGAAGTTAAAAAATCTCAAGTTCTCCTGCCCATCTGTTGTTTCAGCTGTTGTTAGGGTTGGAGCTGCTTGGAAAGGCCAGTGAGATAATAGGTGTAGGGGCAATGGATGGACAATGTCTTCTGACTCACAACACAACAAGGATGAGGTGGAGTGTATGAGCACTAAAACCTGTGGTGAGGAACAAAGCCTTCCTAAGAATGTTGAGCTTATCACCTGAAAGAGAACTTGTGTTAGCAGTGCTGGAGCTGACAGTAATATTGTGGGTAGACCATAAGTCCCTGGGGATTCCATTAGTGTTCTGTCAATGAAGACTAAGTAAGTGCAATGCATAAAGATCCTGAGCTATTGTATAGCTGAGTGTATAAGTAAACGTTGCCTTGTAAACCTCTGGCATGCTAATTTGTCAATATAATTATATAGTTTCTTTGTTTTCCTTTTAGTTTATTCAATATTTTATCCACCTCTACACTAATGAATGTATACTTCTTCTGATGCTATTTCTAAAACTGGAACAGTGTGCTAGGAGAAAGATAGCTTTTCCCAGGGAAGACATGAAAGCACAACATAAAAATGACATGCATTCTACAGTACCTTCATTCATTTTGCTCGAAAATATGGAGGCTTGTTTTATATTAAGCAAATATAACCATGTTACGGTATACTTTGCACTATATCTCTGGCCACTGGGGGCACATGGTCACTCTCTGAAGCAAATGGGACACTTCTGTGAAAATGGAGCACATGAGTGTGAAAAGCACTTCTTGACACTGTGTTTTGCATTTGGAGGTGGGTGTCACAAATGATTTATGGCTGAGAATATTTAAGACACTGCAATAATATTTGTTAATGTCTTCCTCCTCCCCTCTTACTCCTCCTCAATAAATACAATTCTCAGGCAGGCAAATGGGTGTCCATCCTGACTTCATCACCTACTCTGTGTCATAGGCAGGAGTTTCACTGCTCTGAGCCTACTTCACATTAGTCACAGCCCTCCCTCACAGTGTTTTCCTACAGACTATGAGAACACATATAAAGCACACATGTGCCCTACTCTGAGTGACCAGATTATTAGGATCTCTGAATGCATAATTATCTGGTCACTCAGTGTATATCCTCTATAATAAAAGGCTAATATGCAAAGTGTCTCCTCCACCAGTTTGACCAGCAGGAAGGCTGGCCAACAGCCCATGTCCCCTCCTCCTGGCCAGGCTGTCTGGCACGAATTCATACACCAGGCCTCTAATATACATATATACACATTGAGTAGCCAGATTATTATGCGTTCAGAGATCATAATAATCTGGCCATTCAGTGTATGATAAAGTTAACACATATTAACCCATTACTGTTAGTTATCCACATTCTTACTCACTGGAGTTCACTGTATTTTCTTTACTAGACGGGATAGAGGAAAAGATAACTACCTATAACCTTGGTTATTAGGTAAACCCATGAAGATGGGGCCATCATCTATCACATGTTTCATAGTTTGATGGATAGTCTGCCATGTCATTTGGCTACAACACCCTCCGTGCCTGCCTGCTGCTTGCTTTCTCTTCAGGTGGTGATTTCAACATCTAAAAATTCTGGATCCCAGGTTATCAAATTTTTCCCTGCCTCAAAATCTGTCTCCCAGGAATTATCTACTAGCATCACATGGCACACATAATTGGTAGAGAAACCTGAATAACCCTCCTTCTTTCAACAGCATAAGCATGGCTCATGTTTCACTATCTCACAGGAGCCTGGGGTTATTTACAGAGAGGAACATAGAAGCCTAGGCCACTCCCTTCATAAAAAGGTAGGGAAGTGGTATCAGGATACAACTTATTATGTTCTCCCACTGAACCAGTCTTATGATAAAATGATATTTTCTCCAAGTTAAAGTCAAAATGATCTCTTCCCAGCCACATACCCTTCCCTATACAACCCATGGAGACAGGCAAGAGGGTGGTGAAAGCCTAGAGTGGAGGGGTAGGGAGAGCTAGAAGAAGTCAATGTGAGGGAAAAGAGGACATGTAATACTTTCAACAACAATGATGAGAAAAAAAAAGTCAAAATGAATGCTGGACAAGAACTCTTTTCTCAGGGATCCAGGTAGAACAGAATTCTCTCAGGACCAGCTCATGACTTCTGAAGGCTTTGCTGGAGGTTGGGATCTATTTCACAGTTGGTTTAAAAGTAGGACATTTATTTCAAGTTGTTCCTTTCAGCTGCTCCTAAAACCATCTGGAAAGTCTTACACTGTCACTTGAACTCCTTCCCCTCCATGCCTCCCATACCCAGGCAGACCCCAGGCCTTATCAATTCTTCCCACCCACAGCTTCTATGTCATCTCTGTATCCCAGCTGCCTCCAACATCTCAACCTTGATGGCTGTAGCGGCCGCTGGCTTGCCCTCCTGCCTCTACAGCTCCCTTTTCTGGTCTTGCCAACACCATGAGAATATCTTAGATTCAAAGCCATCCTCCAACCCCAAAGCTTCTCAATTAGTGATGGGATTAGCAAGCCGGAAACTCCCTGCCTATACTATGTTTGGAGCTAAAATTTTACCACTTCACCTGAGACATGATTATTTTCATCACTTCTGATTTCTTTAATAGGATTCAGAGTGCCCTTTTAAATTTACCGCATGAACATGCCACACTTTATTTGGCCATTCGTCTCTTGATAGATATCTAGGTTGTTTCTATTATTATTGCTATCATCATCATTTAATCATTTGGGTTGTGCCTTTTGTTGTTTTGTGTATGCTGCTTTATAGAGTAGAATTTTAAGTCTCATTTCCTTCATGATTTGTGCTTTTCATGTCTTGTTGAATAAATGATTTTTTCACTTCAAGGTCATAAAATAGTCTTTGTTTCCTTTGGATAGTTTTAAAGTTTTTATTTTCACATGTATGGCTTCAATCATGTGCCGTGTAGCAGTATTTAAAATGATGTGAGTGAGTACTATTCCCCCTGCCCCCTCCAAATACGGATGAACCACTTGCCCAGCATTTTGTCTGGAGCACTTAATTCTTTCACTACTGAATTGTAACGCCTCCCTTGCCATATGTCACTCAGGATTTAGACAGGTTTGTTTATGGCTCATCTTGGTTCATTGGTCTATTTTTTTTTTTTAAATCATATCCATCACAGTCTATTTTAACTTCCATACTTTTACAGAAATCTTGATTTATGCAACAGATCTATGCTGAGACCTCTTTGCTCTTTCATGTGAATTTTAAATTTCATTTTTAAACTATACCTGCTAAGATTATCATTTCAATTTCATTGACTTTATAGATGTATTTGAAGAGAAAAGTGATCTTTGTCCCACTGCATGCTCCCATTTATGCACAGTTTATTTTTTTATTTATTTAGGTCATCATTTATGGTTCCAGTAAAGTTTAAAACTTTCTTCATAAAACTTGTGATGATTTTTTTATTAGGAAATATATTCCTAACTCTAAGCATTTTATAGATGTCTGTGCTGTTGTAAATAGTAGCTTGAATCTGTCTACATATCTAGCTATCTGCACACATACATACATGTACAGATATATATTTGTATGTCATATTTTGGGGCTGATAAAAGTAATTGAGTTTTATAAATGGATGTTCTATTTAGAAGTCCTCATAGATGGTTTGATTAGGTCTAAGAATTTGTTGATTCTTATTACTAGTTCTATGTAGTCTGTTACAGAGGAGAAGAATAATAGTTTTTCAATTCTCAGAT